TATTTTTGAGAGACAGAGCACAAGTGGGGGAGGGGCAGAGAGAGAATGAGACACAGAATCCGAAGCAGGCTCCAGGCTCCGAGGTGTCAGCACAAGAGCCCGATGTGGGGCTTGAACTCACAAACCGTGAGATCGTGACCTGAGCTGAAGTCGGACGCCCAACCGACTGAGCCACCCAGGCGCCCCTAGGACACCTCTGTTTTGAATCAGCACAGAGATCAGATCAGTACGGGGGGCCCAGGAGTCATTGGCTACAGGAAGGAAGGGGAGACTCTGAGGGGCCACTGGACAGAGAAGCTGCATTCGCCCCCAGACAGCATCTTGGTGTGGCCCTGGCTGTGGGACCAACCTGGCAGGCCTCAGCTTGGCACAGGCCCTGGCCTGACACAGAGCCGGATGGGGCCAAAACGCTGCCCCCAGCCTGCCTCTGTGCCCAGCAAGCCATGACAGGCAAGACAGCACACTGGTCACAATTCCAAATACGATTAAGACAAAAAAGACTCACCCCTTGACTTCCCTGAAATCGGATTGACGGTCTCAGTGAAACAGAATCCTGCAAAAAAGAAAAACAGGAAAGTGTCATTAAGATATCTGTAAATCCAGGGATTTACTTCCCAGTTGTGACAAAACACACACACGCTGAAAATGCCAGGAAAGGTCACTGAAACAGAATTTTAAAGGATCGGCAGGAGTTCTCGGATGCTGTGGGGGCCAGGTATATAAGAAGTAAGAGTGGAGACACGGGCAGTGGGCAGTCCCTCACTGTCCTCCCCAAACCAACGTCAGCCCAGGCTGTCCTGCCCCGGAGACACCCTCTCAGAAGGGAACCACCATGGACAAGCACCGCTGCCCAGAAGGCAGGCTGATGAGGTGATGCCCTCGCCCCCCACCCCCCACCCCCCCTACCACCAAACACCCTGCCAAGACAGGGCCCAATGCCTGCTCAGTTCCCACGTCACAGCTTCAGAGCAATTTGTCACCGAGCTTGGGACGGCGGAATTTCCAAATGTCACAAGAAAAAATATACTTAAAAACTCAAAATACTTGAAGCTTCAGCTATTCAGAGATCAGCCTTCTGTCAGAATTTCAGAAAGAACACGGGTCCAGATGGAGGGTCGCACCTCTCTTTCTCACCCATCTTGGGCCCCAAGCACCCACCTTCTGCACAGCAGATACCGCCCCACCGCGTGGTCCTAGTTTGTCACCACAACCCTCTCCCTCAGCCCCCAAACCCCCCTGGCCTCTGTGCCCACGGTCCTCCCCAGCCTTCTTCAGACGGCAGGCAGGGTCTGGGCTCTCCCACCTCCAGTCGAGCCCCACCTGCAGTGAGGCGAGGCCCTCCCACCTGGCCCCCACACTCCCAGACACCAGGGGTCTGGAGTGGCTACCTGTCTGCTCCCCATCCAGCATGTCAGGCCACCGCAGGCCCTGGGGTGAAGGAGCTCTCCAGATTTGTGGAAAGAACCAGCCAACAGGGCACCTACGTGGCTCAGTAGGTTAAGCGTCCAAATCTTGATTTTGGCTCAAGGTCATGATCATGGTTCCTGAGACTGAGCTCCACACTGGGCTCTGGACTGACAGCATGGAGCCTGCTTGGGATTCTCTCCTTCTCTCTTTACTTCTCCCCGTCTACGCTCTCCCTCGCTCTCTTTCTCTCTCACTCTCAAAAAATAAACATTTAAAAAACCCCACTAATAACACAAAATTAAAAAAAAAAAAAAACAACCAACGGGCATGCTGGCCTCTCGGTGCCCATGGACCCATTAGCCGCTGGGGTGAGGGCTGCGGTTGTGTCGCAGACATGGCTCAGCCAGCATGGACCACGCAAGCCACGCATGTACCCCTGCCCTTTTTGTTTACCAGGAGCCCCTTCTTTACCCAAAAATCTCAAGGATTCTGTCATCGGGAGCAATTTGTCACTGAGTGTGGTGCAGCAGAATTTCCAAACGTCCTGAGAGATCACACCGAGCACCAGCGCTTACCTCCATGGGATCGGACACCCTAGAAGCTACCCTATACTTCCAAAGCACATCACCTCTCACTGCCAGGCCATCAGATATGGGACGTCCACCCGCCCCTTGTTCTGCTCCAGGACTAGAAACTAGCCCCTGCAGGCACAAGGCCCACTGTGCTTTGGAGAAAGGAGCCAGGCTTCCCCCAAAGCAGGCTCAGGACCAGCTGCCCCATCCTACAAACCACAACCTGACCCCCGCCTGGGCTGACGTTCAGAGAATGAGAAACACAGCCCCTGTGGGGTCCCCGGCCTGGCTGGGCTCTTGAAGACACGACACTTAAGCAGCCTTTGCTTGGAATTGAGTTAAAGAAAGAGACCAAAAAGAAAGCCTACAGGCGGCCAATGAGCATGTGAGAAGCTAAGACTCATCAGTGAGGCGCAGGCTTTGTAGGGAGATACCGTGCACCTATCAGAATGGCTAAAACAAAAAGGATGATACCCCAGACATTCATCTCTTGCTGGTGGGAGCATACAAAGCACAGCCACTGTGGAAAACAGTCTGGTAGTTTCTCAAAAGGCTAAACACAGTTACCACATGACCCCGAATTTCCACTCCAAGGCACAGACCCAAGAGAAATGAAAACATAGATCTACACAAAATCTTATCTATAAATGTGCACAGAATTACTCTTAATATCCAAAAGGTAGCAACAATCCAAACATCCATCAACTGGTGGACAAATTCCTGATGGACACAACATGGACAAACCCCAAAGCCACTGGCTAAGTGAGAGTACCTCAACATGTGACATCCTGCAGGTATGCATCTGCTCATATAAATCTCCAGAAAAGGCAAAACTAAAGAGACAGAAAGTCGATCAGTGAGTGCCTGGGCTAGGGGCGGGAGCGGCAGTGGCTGCAGATGTCGGAGGCAACTTCTCAGGTGGTGTAGTCACTCTCACGGACTCCACACCTAAAACGGGTACGTTCTGTGTGCTGTCGACACACCTCCATGATAGCTGTGACCTGTCCTCAGGCTCACAGAGGGTCTCTCTCTGAAGACTCCTGGGCTTTGAGCAACATCACCCGAACACAGAAGATTCCTGAACACCCAGGGGAGATACTCTGGTCTGGTAATCGTTTGCAGTGCAGGAGTGATATAAAGGAGATGGGAGTAAACGGCAGAAAACACAAGAGCAGCACAGCAAAGGCGATGTTAAGACCGAGCAGTCCTACAGAGCTCTCTACCACCATCACCGGGTCATCAAAGACAGGAAAGCAGGCTGTTCCTGGCAGAGGGAACAGCAGATGCAAAGCCCAGAGCAGAGGTGTGGGATGCCGCGGTGCACCCCCCGGTCTGTTAGTCCAGACCCCCCCACAGGAGTCAGCCAGGGACAAACTCTAGTACCGTGTGTGTCTTTATCAACACAGGGCAAGGTCTGTGTCCTCCAGGGGCTTGGGGGACAGGGGACATGACAACGGTGATGCTAGGAGTCTGGATATAGAGTAACAGTGGGGAGGAACTAGAAAGAGTGCACCTCCCTGGAAAGAATTCCACCAGGGCGGCCCCAGAAGTTCCTGGCTGACAACCAGCACCCACGCCAGCTGGTGTGGTGGGCCACCCTCCCCCTGGACCACATGCTCCCCGTGGGCCATTTAGTGAAGCATTTAACCGGCTTGGTTGCGGTCAAGCAAGTTATCCGGAAGACTCCTTTCTTGCAGTCACTCATTTCCCAAGGGCAGTGGCTTCACCCATTGGAGACGTTGGCAGAGAGGCCTAAAAACCCAGGCTTTCTTGACAATGCCAAGTGCATGCCCCCATGCAACGAGGCTGTCACCACAGAACCAGACTCCTGGCTATACGGGCTCTCATGGTGTCTCCTCCCTCCAGCAGGAGCACCAGACCCTTCTTGTCAATAGCAGAGCAATGCACTCACGCTATCGCATACACACTTGAGTGACTCCCCACAGGCCCTGTCTAGAGCCACTAACAAAAAGAGGCTCCAGGACAAGACCCATCAGAGTTCCGCCCGCCCCGTGCAGGCAGGGGAAAGGGGCCCCACCTGGTAAGACATTAGAACAAAGGGAGAAGCAGCACCTCAGTGCCCTCACATTCACTAGATGACAAAGTGTATTCTAACGGCACTCAGGCCACGCCATCCAACACTGGACAGCCAGTCACAGCCACAGCCAGCTTAGGGCCTGGTAGGGCCCACCCTTGGTAATCTGGGTTAATAAGGCTCCCTGAGCCACTGCGGCTCTTACCCATCAGCTCCTCCACCCCAGGGCAAACCACCTTGACTGTTTTTGGTTTTGTTTTTGTTTTTTATTTATTTTGAGAGGGGGAGAGAGCCCGCATGCATGCAGGGGAGGGACAGAGAAAGGGAAAGAGAGAATCCCAAGCAGGGTCCACGCTGTCAGCGCAGAGTCTGACGTGGGGGGGGGCTCGATCTCATGAACCACTAGATCATGACCGGAGCTGAAATCAAGAGTTGGACATTTAACCGACTGAGCCACCCAGGTGTTCCTACCTTGACCTTTTGTGCAGACTTTCCACACGGGGCACCTGCTGGCCACTGTGCACCCCACCCCTCCGCCTTAAGATTTCCAGGAAGAAACCTAGGTGCCAGCCGGGCCACCTCTCCACGGGCTGCAGGAATTCGGTTTTGGAGTGTCCTCTATACTGGCATGTGACCATCCCACCTGCCACAAACTCCCAGCTCAGAGACCCAGCAACATTTTAATGAAGCACAACCAAAGGAAAATTGTTGCAAGAAGGTTTTAATTTTACGGAATTTTGTAAAGGGTTCTAAACTGTACTGAAACCTCGTGTGTGTCTCCACACACGAGTGTGGCCTTTGGCTCACATTATTTGGCCCGGGGCGGGGGGGGTGATACTTGCAATGGAAATCTGTTTTTAGATCAAAGTATGGGTTTTATTCTTCTAAAAGGAAGTTCTCAACTACTTACTGTAAAGCAAATACACTTAATTTGAATGACTCAAAGCACATCTAGCCTGTCACCTCCAAGAACCTACTAGAATGAAGCTGGCTGCATCATTCAGCAGTTCTTAACCTTCCCTCTGAGTCAGGTTCAGGGTGGGGCAGGTAGGCTGAGGGGAACCCCAAATGCTGTGCACCCCTGTGGAAACCCCAACCACTGGGTCAAGTCACATTGACAGAAGTGGCTTTCAGCATGTGGGGCATCGCCCCAGCTTCCTCCCTCTACCGTCTAACAAAGAGGTGCAACCATCTGGGCTTCTTCCCACTCCAACCAGCAAGCTGCAGCAGACACCAACGTGGACCCCCACTTGGAGGTCACTGGGTGTCTGCTGGGTACACTGGGGACACAAGACCCAGCAAAGGCCTGCTGCGCCTGACCCCCGTGGGTGGCCAACGGCCAGCGGTAGCAGAAACAGCCACAGCTGTGTTCGCACCAGCAGTGCCGCATGCCGCGCGCAACAGAAAGGCCTGCTGGTCTGAAGCTGGCTGTTCCCAAGGGCTCCCAGGGAAACACGGGCCGGGCAGCCTCAAGGCCCTAGGCTAGCAACTTCCAAATTCCTACAGGCAACAACACACACCCAAAGCCGAAGATCCAAC